CTTCCTTCCTTCCTTCCTTCCTTCCTTCCTTCCTTCCTTCCTTCCTTTCTCTCTCTCTCCTTTCCTTCCTTCCTTCCCTCCCTCTCTCCCTCCCTCTCTCCATCCCTCCCTTTCTTTTTTGGTGTTTCTTTTCTTTTTTGGGGGGGGGATTGAGACAGGGTTTCTCTGTGTAACAGCTCTAACTGTCCTGGAACTCACTCTGTAGACCAGTCTGGCCTCGAACTCAGAGATATAGAGATCCTTGTGCTTCTGCCTCCCAAGTGCTGAATTAAAGGCATGACCACCACCGCCCAGCTGATACCGGACACTCTTTTACCATCCCCACCTTACTTTTTGAGACAGGGTCTCTCATTGAACTGTCTCATGTCCTGATTTTCACATAGGTGCTCGAGATCAAACATGGGTTCTTCAGGCTCATATGGCAAGAGCTTTTACTGACTGAGCCACGTCCCCAGCTCTTTTTAAGGCCTATCCCTTGACGCCTAAGAAGAACCTGAGAAGCATCTTTCTCACTTTATTTAGTGGTGATCCTTTGTATGCTAATGAAATTAGTAACATTAGAAATAGTGGATTTAACTTTAAAAAGACAATGGCTTTTTTTTTCTTCTTGGTTTATTGAGACAGGGTTTTTTTTTTTTGTGTAGCCTTAGCTGTCCCGAAACTAGCTCTTGTAGATCAGGCTGGCCTCGAACTCATAGATATCTGCCTGCCTTTGCCTCCCAAGTGCTGGGATAAAAGGCATGCGCCACCACTGCCCCGAGAAGCCAGGTTTGGTAATCTAGCTCTGGGAAGGGTAAAACTGGAAGATTGAAAGTTTCAGGTCAGCCTGGGTTATGTACCAAGACGCTGTCTCAAAAATGAAAGAAAAGCAGGGGGGGTGTTTCTTAGAAATAGCTGCAGATCTGGCTTCACCCATGCTGGCGACTGCAAGGAAAGACAGATGATTGCAGGGATGCAATGCTACCTTCCCTGGGAACCACGTAGAGAAGGCTAAAGCCCTCAGCGGGCTACGCCAAGCCTTTTCAAAGCGCGTATGACCTCGTGCCGGGATCCCTCCCGTGCGCACAGTCTACCCCAGGGATGGAGAGGGACTCACAGTTTTGTGCAGAGTGGTCCTCTGGAAGGCCCATGTGAAGCTCACAGTAGCATTCTCCTTGATAATGTAGGTGTAGGACTGCTTGCCTTTGGGGCCTTTCCACGTCTCCACTGGAGTGTTGGTCCTAGAATTCATGCCCTGAGCCCAGGAGAGACAAGTGAGGAAGGTGTCATGGCTGCAGGAAGCAGGCACTACCCTGTGGGCTGTCACACTCGTCAGACCTGTTCTAAGTCACTCTGGGCTCGTGCTCGGCGGAATCACCATAATGCTTGCCCATCACATCGTCTTACCGCTAGGGCAAGCTGGGCCCACCCTCCGGCAGAAGCCCCCAGCTACTGAGAGAAGAAACATACCACCATGAAGTAGAGCTCACAGTTCACAGAGCACACGGTCTCGAAGACAAATGTGATCCTGGCCACCTCTTTGTTCTCTGTGTCGGCCATCACTGACTGGGGAGGTCTGTGGGACATCAACTACAGATCATCTCCGAGGCCAGGCAGAGCTACTTAAAGAGTCTAGACAGCAGAAAGGGTCAGTTGAGGGTTTGAGGGACCTGGGTGAAGAGTTGGAAAGATTGAGACCTAAGTCCAACTACGCCATCCAAGCTATCTGACCTTCACCTGGTCAATGCGTAGCTCCCTTGGCTAGGGAATGGAAGTAATAATTATCTTAATTTCTCGTTATAGTATCGCTGTCCAACAGTATTCAGGGTGGTAATGTACTTTATAAAATGCAGTAAGAACCATCCTACTCAATCTTCTTACCTCAAGTAACAATGAACTCGAGAGATGGCTCAGTGGTTTAGAGCGCTTGTTACTCTTGCAGAGGACCCAGGTTCAAATCCCAGAACCCATGTAGTGGCTCACAAGCATACACAGCCCCAGTTCCAGGGCATCAAACTGACACACACAGGGTGTATATACACATCTATGCAAAACATCCATACACACAAAGCTTATTAAATTGTCTATTAAAATTTCACTAAAATGAACTGTAAGTGGTACTGTGGCCTTATTTTTCTCTTTAAAATTTTTTAAAGATTTATTTATTTTATGTATACGAGTATTGTGCCTGCATGGACGTCTGAATGACAGAAGAGGGCATCTGATCTTACTACAAATGATTGTGAGCCACCATGAGGGTGCTGGGACTTGAACTCAGGGCCTCTGGAAGAGCAGCCTGAGCCTTCTCTCCAGCCCTGCTGTGGCGTTATTTCTAAGTCTCTAAAACTATCACTGCTGTCGTGAGAAGGAAGGATTGATGTGGCCGGCCAGTGAGAGACGCTGGGCAGGTCCTGCATCAGTTTGCTTCACTGCTGTGATAAATCACTGAACAGGAAGCACCTAAGGGAGGAAGGGCTTATCCCAGCTCACAGTTTAAGGGGATACAGTCCATGTGATGGGAAGCAGGGAAGCTGGAGCATGAGGTGACCAGGTGCATCCAAAGTCAGGTAGCAGCAGATACACGTTGCTATTCCACTTATTTCCTCCTTCCTAGGCTGAGGCCTAGGACCCCGACCCACATAGACAGCTCTTCCTCCTTAGTCAGACCTCGACCCGCATAGACAGTAGTTCTTCCTCCTCAGTTAGACCCCAACCCACATAGACAGCTCTTCCTCCTTAGTTAGACCCTGACCCACATAGATAGCTCTTCCTCCTTAGTCAGACCCCAACCCACATAGACAGCTCTTTCTCCTTAGTTAGACCCCGACCCACATAGACAGTTCATCCTCCTTAGACCTTTCCAGAAATTCCCTTCTCAACATATGTAGAGATATGTCTCCTAGGTGATTCCAAATCTCAAGCCAACATTCAAAATTAACCATCACAGGCATGGGGGTGATCTACAGAGACTGCTCAGCGATTCGGGGTACTAGCTGCTCTTGCAGAGGACTGGGGTTCGATTCTGAGCACCTACATGGTGGCTTGCAGTTGTCTGTCACTTCAGCTCTAAAGAATCTAATGTCCCCTTCTGTCCTTTCATGGGGCATATACATACCCACTTCTCATGAGGGCATACACATACATGCAGGCAAACACTCGTACACGTACAAAATAAAAATGAATAAAAATTAACTAAGAACATGTCCTGGTGCACAGTTAACGTGGCCATGGTGTGCTCTTCTCTGTTCTGGATCGATACTTAAGTGAAACAAAACTCAAATCTGGAGGCCTCTCCACGTCAGACTCTCAAGGACGTGGGCTTTGGAAGAGGCTGGGTTGGCCTGGGCTCCCCTGGTTCTGTCGTCCTCACCTAAATCCTGGCACAACTAGAGTGAGAATCATGAAGTCGTTGTCTGAGGCTCCAACAGCTGTATAAATGTAGTCACCAGCCACCTCCCAGCCTGGAAAAGGAGAGGGAGGAGTCAATGCTCTCAGGTAGGGGGATAATGTGATAATAACACTGTCCTGTAAAGTATCCAGACCTGATGCTTATCCGGCAGCTAACTTACTACTAGCTTCCTTTCTTCTATCTTCTTTCTTCTCTCTTTCTCTCTTCCTCCCCAACCCCCTTTCTTTCTTCTCTCTAGATCAGATCTCACTCTGTAGTCCAGGCTATCCAGGACTTGTGGTAATACTGCTGCCTCACCCCCTTTTTCTTTCTTTTTTAATATTTTTGTTGTTTTGAGAAGGATTTCACACTAAGACCAGCCTGGAATTCACTATTGCCTTATATTTGCAGTAATGCTCCTGCCTCAGCCTCTTGAGTGCTGAGATTATAGGCCTGAGTCACCAAGACTGGCTTGTATATGCTTTTCCTAGCTCCTTTCTCTCTCTGAAACTAAATGATGGTGGCATGTCCGTGGAGGGAGTGGAACTTTCAAGGGAGTCATGATTCCCAGTGGGAGAGCAAAGAATGACAGCCCAGGGGACAGGGTGGGGGGTAGGCAGTCACGGGGTGACGGGGGAGAGGCAGTCACCGGGGTAAGTGTTGGGGGGAGGTAGTCACCGGTCAGGACTTTGTACTCGAAGTTGATTCCGCTGAGAACAGTAGTTTCCATGTTGGAGGGCAGCGTGTTCCACCACTTGTATTCAAATCCCACCGCAGGCTCAGTTCCCGCTGGGCAGCGGGTACAATCTAGGGGAAGCACAAGACTCGTTCAGTGGCTGAACCTGCTGCCAGACAGACAAGTGGCCGCCAAACAGTGGACGGCGCGGTGCTGCCGCCCCAAGTTAGGTCAGAGGTCCCCCAAACAACACGTTCAAATTAGACACGCTGACCAGAACTCCAGCGGTCCCTACTGACCAAACATTCGCTTTGATGCCCCTTTTAGCTCCCTCAGGTACATCCCAGGATTCCCATGTTGTCACCAAACGCATTTGTTCTCGCAGGTACACAGCCCTCCTCCTCCCCCAACTCCCTTGTGTCATGTAACTTATAGGTTGCCATTCAGCCCAGTTGGTCGTCTTAGCCCCATGGACTCCCTAGTTAGTGTCTTTGCCGCATCCTGGACACCTCTCTTGTGAAGACTGAGACTCTCGAGGCCTGAGTCACGCTCGCAGAGACAGTGAGGCAGAAGACAGGGCAATTGTTAGATCTGACCCTGACCTACAGATTCCTGAACCTGGTCCTCAGAACTGGCCTGCCCTTCACTGCCTTCAGAGGATGGGCAGAGGGCACTCGGCTAGCTCCTCTGGGCACCACCAACCCCCAATATTAGGATGGAGAGGACGGAGGAAACAGCAAGGGTGCTGTTACCGGAGCCGTTGGAGTACGAGCCGTAGGGGCAGGGTTCGCAGGTGCTGTTGTTGGTTTTGAAGAAGCCTGGGTTGCAGGGCGGGCATTGGGTCTTCACACCAGAGGCGGGCAGCTTCACTGATCCCTCGAGGTCCTCACCACAGATTTTTGGCACGGCCCATTTGTACATGAGCTGTGTCTGCAAACATGAAGTAAGCAAGAGTCAACATGGGTGGGATTTAGGCCATGTTTCAAACCAGAACACAAGCAAAAGAAAACGGAGTGGGTTTGAAAAAGAACACGTGTCAATGCTGAGCGACACACGGACAGAAAGAGTGTCCGACCTGAACTTGAAGCCATGCCCTTTGGCCCCCCCACCAGCCTGGGTTCATCATGCAGGTTGGTGGGGGTTTCTCCAGTGTCAGTTTCACTGACCACTGGAGTTGGAACAGTGGTCAAGTCTAAGGACCAGGGAGCGGGGGGCTCCAAGTGTGCTACCCACCTCTCCATTAGCATCACAGGCTGTGTGGGTATAGAAATAATCCTTGTCTGTGCAGGCTGGGCGCACTTTGCAGGTGGAAGATCCTTTTTCTGAAGGACCAAAGGGAGAAAAAAAATATTTCAAGTTAAAAAAAAAGTATTTCAAGTTATACAAGAGAGCAGCCCAGCTGTCTTACACAAACACCAGCCACTCGTGGCCACTGGCTAGTGACCCAGGCCATGGGTGTGTCACTACAAACTTCCAGAAAGGGTTCGCTTTCTGTTTTTATTGTTTATTGTTTGCCTCCTCCTCCTTCTTTTTGGGGGGGCGGGAGGGAAGGGGATGGGATAGCCCGACCTGAAACTCACCCACTGTGAAGTCTAGGCTGGCCTCAGACTTGAAACAATTCTGCTTCAGCATCTTGCAGGGCTAGGATTGCAGGCATGAGCCACCGTGCCCAGCTAGGCCCTTTAAATTTTCGTCTTATGAAGTTTTTCCTTAAAGCTATTTTTCTGTGTCTGTGTGAGGGTGTTTGGCCTGCATGCGTGTCTGTGTACCACGCGTGTGCCTGTGCTCAAGGAGGTCAGAAGAGGGTGTCGGATCCCCACCATGTGGGTGCTGGGAATCAAACCTGGATCCTTGGGAAGAGCAGTCGGTGGTCTTAACCCCTGAACTCTCTCTCCAGGTCCTATCCTGAGACCTTGTCTGAGTGTTCTCTTAGTGTCTGACCAGCATGAAGAAGGCCTACTGTTACTTCCCCTTCTCCGTGAGACCACGCTACACAAATAAAGTTGGAATTTCCAAGACCTCAAGACAAAGGCACCTCTGACTTTCCTTGGCCTGGGCATCCTGGCTCTGACTTTCGCCTTGACCTGCTGAGAAACACTCAGATTCACCCTACACTGGCAGTCCTGGGAACTGAACCCAGGACCGTGCGTATTTTATCACTGAACCCCGTATTCTTAGCCATTTTATTGGGCTCTTTGTGTTCCCCTTATCATGATATAATGTTGCTTCAATACCATGAACCTCTGTATAAGAACTATTCCCATGAATTCTCCTTAAAGTAACAAATTTCGTATTTTGTTTTATTTTGAATTTAGAGACAAGGGTCCTAAAATGTAGCCCATTCTGGCTTGGAACTCATAAGCTTTATGCCTCAGGTGCTCGGAAAACAAGTATATGCCACACACCCAAGACAAAAAACCGTTTTGAAGCTGGGTAGACTGTTACACGCCTTTATTCCTTGCACTCAGAAGGCAGATGCAGACCAGTCTCTGAGTTTGAAGCTAGCCTGGTTTACATAGTGAGTTCCAGCTACGGCTACAAATGTCTCAAAAGCCCAAATAAATCCTTTTTGAAAAAAATTTAAGAAAAAAAAAGATTGGAGATGGGAAGGAATATGATCAAAATATATTGTATGAATTTTTCCTAGAGAAACAAAGCTGTTTCTTTTACCAAGAAACATAGGTAAAATTCATGCAAATTTAAAATTTCTCATAGGATTTTCTTCCTAACAAAGAACACCAAGGATGGACAGATGGTCCAGTGGTTAAAGTGCTTACCACACGAGTGTCAGGGCTGGAGAGCTGATCCCCAGAACCTGTGTTAAATGGCAGGGAGGTGTGAGGACCCTCCTGTGGTTCCAGCACACAGCAGGCAGATAGAAGAGCTCAGAGCAATCTTGCTAGTGAGATACTGAGTCCGTATCTCTGGGTTCAGTTGAGGTACACTGTTGATGGAGGAGGGTTATCTGTCTATTGTGTTATTTTCATTGGTCAATAAAGAGACTGCCTTGGCCCTTTGATAGGACAGAAAATTAGGTAGGCGGAGTAAACAGAATAGAATGCTGGGAAGAGGGCTATGAAGCAGACGCCATGGAGCCAGCCACCAGATCAGACATGCTGAATCTTTCCCGGTAAGCCACACCTCGTGGTGTGATACAGATTAATAGAAATGGGTTAATATCAAGATATGAGAGTTAGTCAGTAACTAACTCTCTAGAGATAATGGGCCAGGCAGTGCTTAAATGAATACAATTTGTGTGTTATTATACCTGGGGCTAAGCTAGCTGTGCAGGAGCCGGGCAGGATGAAAAGCAGGCCTGCCCGCAGCCCCTCACTACACACTGTCTCAATGAACAACATTGGAAAGCAATGGAGGAAGACTCCCAATGTCAGACCTTGGGCCTCTACATGTAGGTACACACAAGCCCGTGAACCGGCATTCGCACATGCCTCCACACACACGCGAACACATAGACGTGTGCGCACACACACACACACACACACACACACACACACACACGAGAGAAAAAAAATGAGTAAAAACACACTGCCTATGGGATTCCCCATTGTAATTCCCCTAACTGCTGCATCCACCACTTCTAATATGAATGCTGTGTCCTCTGCAGAGAAGCAGTTCATAAGGGTGAGGCAGCCTCTCCTTCCGGATATTGAAAAAGGGCGCTTAAAAGAAATCCCATATTACTTGACAGGCACCATGGTGTCATCAAATGAGATTGCAAGCGAGGCAGGTCTAGGTTTGGATCCTGATTCGTTGTTTAGTAGCTGCGTTATGTTAGACAAATTACTTAACCTTTCTCAGCTCCCTCATCTGAGGAGGAGGAGTAACAGTGTCTACAGGGATGGAGCCAGCACATGCCTGGCCCGCTGTATGCAGATATTCCCAACGGCAGCTGAGGGGATGGCTCAGCAGTTCGAGCACTTGTTCTTTCAGAGACTAGAGTTCAGTTCTGCCCACACTGAGCAGGGAATAACTGCCTTCAACTCCAGTCACAGAGGATCTCCTCTGACCTCGCTGGGAACCTACATGTAGGTGCAGATACATCCCCAAACATACGCACACATACATATAAATAAACAATAAATATTTTTATATAAAAAAAGAAATGGCAGTCGCTATTATGGCCTGCAAGCCTGCACATGCTTTTTATTTAAGATCTGCGCATTAGGATAGTGCCAAGTGTGGGGCTGGAATTTCCACATAGGGCCTGAGAAAGCTGGAGAAAAAAGGGGGGGGGGAGGGAGAGAAAACAAAAACAAAAACGGATACAGCACCTTTGAGAGGCGGTGCTGTTCACAGTTTCACAGTTAAGTGAAAAATGCTTATTGTATATAGTCTTACTATGTTAATGCTAAAACCTTTCTTTTTATTTAGCCAAAAAGGGAAAATGTTATGGAATATTTGTTTAACTATGGAAAGCTCTGTTGCTGTTTTACCTTGCCCCCCTAAGGCACCTGACTGATCTAATAAAAAGCTGAATGGCCAAAAGTGAGAGAGGCCTTCCCGGCAAGGAGAGTAAGAGGGGGAATTTAGGCTCTAAAAGGGGAAAGAAAGAAAAAGACACCCCAGGAAGACAGCAAGGGCAAGACAGGCAAGGAGGGAGCAGGAAATTAGGGCATACAGAATGAAAGCAAGGTAAAAAACCCTGAGGCAAAACATAGATTAATAGAAGCAGGTTAAATTAAGTTAAAAGAGCTAGTGGGTCAAGCTTAAGTTAACATCAAACATTCGTAATTAATAATAAGTCTCCGTGTCTTTCTTTGGGAGTTGGTTGGTGGTCCCCCCCAAAATTCCAACAAACCAGGAGATTGAGTAAGGGTTAGGAGCCTCTTCCCCACCTTCTAAAGAGGCCTCACTCCTCAGCTGGTCCCTTCCTTCTCCCAGACAACTTCCTGCATCAGAAACTCTGCAAAGGGTGCCTTGTTGGCCTGCACTGGGAGTTCCCCAGACTGAACATCTCCCCACCTCTTCTGTCCCTGTCTCATTAGGCAGAGCAAGAAGGAAGCAAGGGCTGGGAAACAGCTGGAATCTTCTCAGTTCATTTATTGGGTAAACAAGCAGGAGGCCCAATTCAGAGGCTGTTGACTGACTTGGCCAGGAGAGATTTGGGGGGAGGTGCTGAACGCGTGCCAGTTCCCAGGGCCTTGTGTATCAAGCCTGGCGGAGCACAGGGTAGAAGGTGTATCTGGCACAAAGACCTTTGTTCTGCTGGCTAAACATTTACTTAACCTGACACCCCAGGTCTGTTTTAGCAGAAATGGTCCAGCTGTTTACACACAGACCACTGAGAAAATGCCTTTCATAAATGATCAACCCGAGTGCTGAGACAGACCTCACTTTCCTAGCTCAGGTTTAAACCAAGGGGTTTAAGTTGGGCACTAGTCAAGTGTGAAAAAGTCACCTAGATGTTTGGTCGGCTGAGGAGTGCACGTGGCTTGAGGGGCACTGCTCCTGGGGAAATGCAGGCAGCCTTTACCTCAGGGCCGGGGGTCCTCTTTCTGTGCCCCCCTTCTCCTGCCAATATTTCTACTCCACTTCCAGTATGGTGTTCTCTCTGGGACCCATTTTATGGAAGGAAAGCATTTCCTCAGCAGACACAGGACCCAAGGCACATTAAGGCTCAGCTCCTACCAGCTCAGACTCTTGGCGGGCCCTTCTGGAAACTCACCTCTCATTTGTAAATGGGGAGCTCACTCCCATGTCAGGCTCTGAGTAATAAATGAGATACTGTCGCATTGAACTTCTATACACGTGACCTATTATTGTAAGCTGCGGTGAGAACATTTTCATACTAGAAGAGGCAGGTATGTGAACAGGCCTTCACGAAGCATGAATTAATAACATTAATGCTCAGGGGTCAAGGCGAGTAGGAGACTGCAGAGGGTAAAGGGGTCCCTACCACCAGACTGACAACCTGAGTCTGATTCCTGGGATCCATATATCAGGAGAGGATGGACTCCTTCCTGAAAGTTGTTCTCTGACCTCCACATGTGTGCAGTGGCATGCTCACATGTTCATGCACATGCCTCTCCCCGATAGATAGATAGATAGATAGATAGATAGATAGATAGATAGATAGATAGATAGATAGGTAGATCAGTGCTTAGGGTTAGAACTCAGTAGAGGAGGGCCTGCCTAGTATGTACACAGTTCTGAGTTCTATCCCCAACATTACACGAAAAAATTGAAAAATAACAACTACACAGCACTCAGGAGGCAGAGGCAGGCAGATCATTGTGACTTCGAGGTCAGCCTGCTCTGCAGAGTGAGTTTCACAACAACCAAGGCTACACAGAGACATTCTGTCTTGAAAAACCAAAGAGAAAATAGCAATTACAAACTACTGGGCCCATTTCTAGATCCTTCCCTGTAGTAGCCAGTCCCCACACTATCACCATGAGGTAGATATGATCATTGTCACTTCTATCTTAGAGATAAAGAAATGGAGGCACAATTGCTTCTTGGGCTTCCACTAGGAATGCATATAGAAACTTCAGCAAAGATAAGCCACAGTCCCTAAGTGTTGGGTGAGGAAGTATTGCTGTGATTTGTTTGATAAAGAGCTGAATGGTCAGTTGCTAGGCAGGAGAGCACGGGAGGGCTTTCCCGGGAGAGAGGAAAAGGAGGAGAAATTTAGACGCACAAGATTTGCGAGTGAGACGCAGGGAGAGCGGGATGTGCGGTGCAGACAGAGATGAGGTAACAAGCCATGCGGCAGAATGAAAATTAAAAAATATTCGTTAATTTAAGCTATAAGAACTAGTTAGGAACAAGACTAAGCTAAAGCCAAGCTTTCCTAATGAATAATAAGTCTCATAATAATAATAGGTCTCCTAATAATAAGTCTCTTATTTGTGGGTTGACGGCCCTGATGAGAAAGTACCACCGCACCTAGGTGAGTGGTGAAGCTGAGATTTGAACCTAGTGAGTGTGTTCTGGAGACCCTGCCCTTAAACCTTATGGGCTTCGATTAGGAAGTGGACAGCTAGCATTTAACACAGCACAAAGGAGCTGACCGGGGCTATCATGCTAAATTACTCCATGAACCTTCTAGTTCGCTTATGTTCCCACCCCAAATATCTTGTCCCCATGAAACTGCAGATCTTGGCTCTTGTAAGATCTCGGCTAGTGAAGGCTGAGAGTCAACCACTTCTCTTTTTCTGCCTCCATGGCATGCTACACTCAGCGTTCCTAGCCTGATCCCCACTGCACCATGGAGAGTGAGCACATTCGTGTGTTTATATAGTCAGATTTCCACCTTTTGGTTCAACCTGGAGGACAGGCACCAAGGCCAGCCAAGGTGTGTGTGTGTGTGTGTGTGTGTGTGTGTGTATGTATGAGTGTAAATGTGTGTGCATGTGTGTGCGTGTGTGTGTATGTGTGTGTGTATGTGTGGGGATTTGTGTGTGTATGAATGTGAATGTGTGAGCATGTGTGTGTATGTATGTGTGAGGATGTGTGTGTGTATGTGTGTGAGTGTGTGTATGTGTGTGCGTGTGTGTATGTGTGTGCGTATGTATGTGTGGGTATGTGTGTGTATGAGTGTGAATGTGTGTGCATGTGTGTGTATGTATGTGTAAGGATGTGTGTGTGTATGTGTATGTATGT